AGGAATGCTGCTTTTTCACAGTGTATCTTAAAAAGGGGAACAATGTCTGCTTATTTCCCCTTTGTTGACTGCAGGCTGAAAAATCCCACAGCACAACTTCTTCTTTCGAGTTGATCAGTTTATATACTGAACAATCGAACTATGTAAACTGAGTTAATAATACCGTACAATGAGATAACATGAGCATTGGCTTGATTTTGTTTTGGTTTTTTTTCCAGTTCAAGCAGCACAACTTTTGTTTGGTAGCCACAGGGGCTCCAAGTTTTTTTCCAATAACTCCTTGGTTAGGCAATGTTGTGGAAAACAGTACTGCTCCTTTTCTGTTGAAGGAAAAAATGCAACACTGCATGGAAGATGGTACATGACTTGTGGTAACAGGCAACACAAAGAAATAATGTCAGAAAACTGCCATTCTGCCATTTCAGTCTTTGCCTCTTAGCAAGCATTAAACTTGCTGGAGGTAGTACCTTATTGACACAGAAGGAGGAAAGGTTCTTAAAATGTTTTGCTAGGAATTGCACAGCAACTGTGTCCTGCTGGTTCCCATGTGTCTCAGCCTGGCCCCGGCCCTGGCAGCTCCGAGCAACGTTTGACGGGCCACCTGCGCTGGCAGAGCACAAGCTGGCCTCTGCTTCATTCCAGTGAGTACAAAATGTGTCCTCCATATACTGTAAGTGAATTTTCCATATTTTCAAATACAGAAAAGCTTCCTCACTTGCTAATTCTTCTTATGGCATACTACTACTATTAATATTATGCACAATTCCACTGCTGCAGGGGGATAGTGCAGGGCATTAAGTGGATCTTAAACCACACATGGACTTTTCTGGGTCACATCCCATTCAAATGTGCAAAATATGCAAAATATGCCTGTACATTTTGTAGATCTACCACTGATACAGACATTTTGAAAAATCTCCCTGGGAGGGTGATGATGACGATTCTTAAACCTTGGCAATGTTTCCGTTGACAACTGCAAATATTGCAAATGCATTGACCCTTCAGTCTCGGCCTCACGGTGCTATGAAAGCTACAAACCTATGAAAAAGACTTCTCTTGCTTCAGAAAGGTATTGGTTAGCTTATAGAGATCAGCGACTACCAGAAAGAAATGAAAACAAGGACTGAAAGGGATCAGAATGAAATGGTTCACTTTCTGGTTCATCATGGTTCATCTTCTAAGTATATCTGATAATTAATCACATTTTTTAGGCTTACAAGGGTTGTCAAGTAAATCTATAGCTATTATTTGCTACCTGTGGCTTTTTATAAAGCAAGTGAAATATAGTTTCCTGATTATGCATGAATTCTGCTTTCCTGCCCGCTAGGTTTTAATTCCATCCACACTTCACTTACACTTCTTGATTTTTGACTTACTAAACACATCTGCTCTGCCTGTCGAACCTGTTTGTGCCTCTTTCCCCTGAGGTGCAATCCAATAATTGAAAGCCAATTGTCTGTAGCCAGCATTTCTGCTCGTGGATTCTTGCGGCAGTCCTTTCTGCTCTGTCTGATGCTGAGCAAACACTGGACAGGATCTTGTCTAGAGGAGGATTAGTTTGGATTATTGGAACAAACTTGACTTCCTCAACCCTATGTTTTCTGAAGAGAAAGAGAGGATCCAATTCCCTGTCCAGTTCTGCAGCAGCCTGTTTTGGCCCTGGCACCAGCCTCAGGCTTTTTCATTGAAAAGGCACATAATGTGCTCTCCTGTGAGGTGATATGAAAAGTATGTAAGCCCAACTAAGATAAAGGGAAAAAAAAGTGAAGTTTGTATCTAAATTGCTTAGGGGTCATTAATGGGGAATAGCAATGAGAAAAGTCACAGACATATTGGGTTTACAGCTGATGCATCTTCAACGGATTTTCTCCCAGGAGCTTTTCCAGTTACTTTTCAACCCATGCAAATTTTTAGCATCTACAGCATCCCGTGGTGCAAAAAATTCCAGCTCCCTATAAGGAGAAGTAAAGTTGTTTTGAATCTGCCATATGGCAGTTTTATTATATGATCCCTAGTTCCTATTTGAGAAGATCCAGCGTGTACTCTTTCCATGCCACTTGTGATTCCTAGATTTTTGCAGCACGTTCCTGCAGCTTTTCCAGGCTGAGAGCCCCTAGTCTCTGTAAGTGTTTCTTCTACAGAAGCAGTTCCATAAATTTCATCATCAGCTGCCTTACAAATGGAATGAGAGTGGGATTGCTCGAGATTTGGCCCGTAACAAAATGCCAGCCACGATTCTGAGTTTCTGTACGAAACGCTTTTCATGTGATTCGTAGACACTTACCTGTTAAACGCTTCAATGTAAAGCTGTTCCAGTTCAGGGTCATTATTATTATTTTATTCTCCTGCTCGAGAAATAAGTGGAAGAATAAGTGAGAAGTGAGAATAAGTGCACTGGAAAAAGTGATATCAGCAAATGCAAGTCTGTAAAACTGCACAGCCCTAATAAAGGCTTAAGAAATCAATATTTGTGGAAAATTTGCAGAAAAAAAATCAATCCAAACGCAATGACTTCATAAAGTTAAACATCCCTGAGGATTTCATGCGCTAGTGCTAATTCAGCCTTAACTACAGCCATGCACTTGTACTGTTATCCAAAATGACTGAAGAGAAAATATTGCTGCAACTTATTAACATTTCCTTCAAACCACAGTGTAATTTAAAAATATGTCTATATTCACAATCTAATTTTGCAAAGTAGCTGTATTTCATAAGGCTGGAAACTTTTTTTCCGTTAAAATTATGTTACTAGGCATCTCAGTCATTAAGAGGGTTTTAGAAACTTCAGATGTCTTTTCATAGTCGTAAATTACTAATACCGTTTAGTTGAAAAATGTGTGCAGCCTTAGAACTGACTACACTAATGCAAATAAATTATGTTTTAAAAGATGTGAGGGGAAAACCATAAAAATGAAACAGCACCACTGCTAAGGATTACATTTCTTGATTTCATGGCAAATTAATAGCTCTTTTAATTTCCAATTTTTATGCTGCTGAGTGTTTTTTCCATCCTGAGTCCCGTGTACTGGGTATGTAAATTTATAGTGTTAATAATATATTTTAAAAGTTACCCTTTTGCTAACTCCAGCACATCTTTCTAGTGCTAAAACACTTACAGATAAGTGGGTTCTTTGCTCCTAAAACTATTGTCTGCAATTAAAATAAATTGAAGAGCAAAGGCAAAAGAGGGTTAAATATTTCTGGATCATGGTTTCTTTCACTGTCTTTAGACAACTCTGTGCTGGAGCAGTACGACAAGGAACTTGAGGAAGGGCGTAACTACAGACCAGCTGGGGCCATACGCGCGCCCTGCCTGGCTAGGTAAACCCTTCTGGGGCTGATAAAGCAGCTGCTGACTGACAACTTGCAAACAGGAAGTATCAAGCACTACTTTTTGCTAATTAATCAGTTTCTTTCAACACCTCTTCCGTCTGTCTTATATCTTTAGAGAACACAAACTGCTGGTCAAGTCATGTTGTTCAATATTTTACCAACATGCTTCAAGCATAATTCAGTGATTTATGACAGAGACCTCTATTTAAAGTCTGGTGAGTGACCAAAATATAGAACAGGAAGCATCTTGGTGATGCGAGCAGTTGACGTGGAAACTTGCTCAGGCAAACAGCTGTTATTTTCCACAAAATCTTTTAAAAATCATGAATATTTAGTGTTATGAACAGCAAATACTTAAGTGCTGCTCTTGAGAAAACATCTAGCTTTTTCCTTTCTAACAGAGAGGTTCTTGAATGTTTGGAGCTCAGTTATCTGCTGGTGACAGAGAAGGTGTTTTCTTCCATTAGAGTCAACTTTATCTTTATGAAGCCCTGACACTACTTTGTTGAATACATCTCCTGCTATGGTCACAGAAATATATAAAACTTGCAAATTGTGGTCTACCACATGTTACCTTTTTTAGGGGATTTTTGGCAAGCTAAGCTCTCTGTATGTGGGTTTCAAATTAAAAAGCAGCAGCAGAAAACACGTATTGTGAAAAAGTTGAAAAATGTAACTCTACTCATGTACCAGTTTTTCCTATGCAGCTAAATGTTTCAGTGAGTCAGAAGCATTGTTCCTAATCAGATAGTTATGAACTGCTTGTGTTAAACATGCTTCTGCATGCAGGTAAGTACCCTGTTATTGGACATACACAAGGGAGCTGGTAAATATAGTTTTCCCAATTCTGTGTTCAAAGCTCCTCAGTGAACTTTCCCACAAAATGAAAGTGGTGACCTGCAACACACATGTTCTCATATTTCTAAGCCGTTTCAGAGTGCAATCTCCAAATGTCAGGTATCAGCATAGAAGATCCCATGATCTTGAATGGGACAAATGATGTCCTTAGCAGTGTGAAAGGACAATCGAATGGGTTCCTGTTCCCTCTTTTTGCAAAGCTGAGTCTCTCTCCTGCCTGGAGTCTCAAACCTGTTTCTGTTGGGCTCCATGAGAACACTGAACAAGAATCAGTTTCTTCTGTGAAATTTAAGCCTTACCTGAACTCAGGTGCTTGGTCTGATGATACAAATATTCTCTATTTAGATATTGGATGCTGACACAAATTAAATCCCAGGCTGGCTTCACCTATTTTCATCTCTTTCCTTTCCCAGGCACTCATAAAAGACAATATTGACCAAAACACCCTCTTGCCAGTGGGCACGGTCTGTACTGGCCTAGCTTTGTTGTTCCATGATGCACTGGATACAAATAAGTAATTTTCCAATCAGGAGCACAGAGCAAACACAGAAAAATGTCCTAGTGGAGTAGATTAAAGGTAGAAAAGCAAATGAACTTTTAGAAAGGACTTGTGCTTCTTGGCAGAGAAACACTATGAGAATATTCCAGAGTGCTGCCCTAAAACAATTATTGAGACACAGAGAGAACATACATTTTGAAGGCGAAAAGGTTGCTGTGTGCACACAAGCTGGATTACATATACCCTCCCAAGTTAATCTGATTGTACCTTGAACACCTTACAAAATAGCAAGGGAAGATACCCAAATACAACCCCCTTCCATGAAAATGCCATGTAAGTTAAGCATTATGAAATATTTATTGTGGCTCTTATCAACTTGCACAGATCCAAAGCGGTTACAGCAGGTGTCATGGAAATCTTCTCTGTTGCCTCATTATGTCCATTTCTAACAACAAGCATTTCAAGGAGAAGTTTCACCTCTTCTGTCCTCTCAGGTCACTGTACTGCATTGCTGTTGTTGGGGCATAACATAGAAAACGTACCAGGCATGTGTTAAGAAAAATGAGTGTATCTGATTGCTGAAATATACCGATCCCAAATATGTTTCTGACATATCTTATACGCATGGCTGCCTATGTTGCCCATTCAAAAGTTGTCTTCGAGATAAATCTAAGAAAACCAACTAACTCTTTTTAATTTAAACTTGAAGCTCAATGGATCTTAATTAGGACAGCCAGTTGAGGAGTACTGCTATTTTTTACAAGCTAGTAAAAAAGAAAATGAGAGACTATCCAGTAAGCAACTGCATTCTGGAAATTTCAGAATGTCTGCTGATGTTATCTTCATTACCCATGGGATGGCATCACTCAGTTAGATACAAAGCTGAGCTCATAAGATGGAACATGAAGAGTTTTTCATATCATCCTTTATTGTGTGCTCACATCTGGGTCAGCACTGAATTAAAAAAAAACCATCATGTTGAAGTTTTTGAAAAAGGAAGCATATTGTGCACATATTATTATGGTTATCTAATGCAAAAGGTTTGGAGTTGATGGGTTGTTTTATTCCCCACAGCCCCTACAGCTGTCTCAGAATTTTAGCACTATCAGATACAACACCCAAAGCTTTGACTTATAAATATATTAGATATGAATAATGATATCATCATACTAAATACAAACTAAAAGAAGTCTGGAAAAGCAGTTAACTCTCATGCTTCAGTGTATAAATTAAGTCCTGGGAGAGAAGAGAGAGTTGTCCATTTTAAGATTTCTTGTACCTTTCTCTATAGGAACAGGAGAGTTTTATCAGCTCACATTTTATTAAAAAACAACTTTTAGAACTAAGCATTCGTGCTTGCTACTTCTTGGATTACTCTATCAGATAGTAAGTATTATCTTGAAAGTAGAAGCTAACTGAAGGCTTAGAGCCCATGATTCACTCTGTACAGCACGACAGAAAGCTGAGATATAATTTTGCCAACATTTGCAGAATGACTTGGGTAACCTTTGGCTCAGACAAAATGTTGTTTTTCCTGTCCCCAATTGTGTAATAAATAAAGGATCAAAAAATGAAGAAATGCAAATATTGTTATCAGTGAAAGTAATGAGACACTGAAACAGCTTCTGAGAGATCTGGTAGTTTTTTCATCTTAAAAGGCTGTTAATTACCAAGTGATGTCTACGTATAGCATATTCTTAAATTCAGCTCCCGTCTGTTGAGCTCTTTTCAGGAGTTACTGGATAAAATATGATGACCTTGACTGGACTGGAGTTTGAGTGTATGATCTATACCCAAATGAGGTTTACGTATTAACAAAATTACCACTGGAGGTGTTTCTCAGCTAGTGAGAGGAAACCCTCAATGAGAGGAATAAAAGGTAATTGGCACTGGAAGAGGAAGGCACCATAAACTGTATTTCACTCTAAAGCAGAAAAATATCTCACCCTCCTCCATCCTCCCACCATCTCCCTCAAGGTTAAGCATTTTCTGCTAACCTTTGGAGTCAAGCACAGAAATAAATACAGAAGCTTTATCATTTTTATCGGCTGCACATGAGCTTATTCTTTCTTTTATAGTAAATATTAGGGCACAGGGTCACCAGAAAGCTTGACTTTGTAAAAGTTCAGCCAACAGAAGAGATACACAAATATTGCCTTAGAGGAAAGCCCATAAGAAAATAACTGGGAAGGAAGCCAACATCTCGACATTCTCCGTGGCGTATTTGTTCACAGTCTTAATTTAATTAAATCTAATGGGATTCTTGAATGATCCCAGTGCTTTTGTCTCAGCTGTCTCAATCAGATAACCTTCTACATACTTATAGCCCGTTTGAAAATGATTTTCTGATTCTGAAAATGATTTCTGCTTCCCTGACCTTTAATTAACCAAAAATACTAATTATGTTGAAATGATCTTGCCACTCATTGTAACGATTTCTCTACCTGCTCTTCTGATAGAAATTTATTTATTTATTTATTTGGCTTGGCTTCATAAATTTTCTCATTTGGTTTTTAAATTAACTTTACTGGTTTTCAGCACAGGGTGGCATAAAATGGTGTCTGGTGTAACTGGAACTGGAAGCACCTGCCAGATAAGACATACTGCAGAGAGCACTCTCTTTGTTTAAAGATAGCCTTCAAGGACTGAGTAGGGTATATAATATGAAATTATTTGTAGCACAAGCTGAAAAAGCTTTATTTGCATTTTCCTTTACTGAGCAATTTGCTAATTTGTGTATGAATCTTACATTAAGTAAAAGAAGGTTGCTGCCCGCCAAATTCAACCTTAAGTGTTAAATCTGCTCGTCTGACAGAAGTCTTATTTTCCCAGGCTTCCTAACATGGATATAGCTAGAACAGACAGCACTCTTGGGAAGGGCAAAAGACTGAATAAAACTAGAGGCTTTCATCACCACGGTAAGCCACAGCTGGCAATTCATCTTCCTACAGATGCCTGCCATCTGTAGGAAGCACTTGTGCTTTTCCTTGTCTATGTTTGTAACTGTGGCACTGCTTCACTCTTTCAGAAGCGTTATATTTTCTCTTTTCCTGAAGTATGCACAGAGACACAACTCCACATAAGCAATGTCAAATGATCATGTGTTTGAACTAGCTGCCCGGGGAGGAAGGGGAATCTCCATCCTTGGAGAAGTTCACAACTCAAACAGGCATGGCCCTGAGCAGTGTGGTCTGACCTTGAAGTTAGATCTAATGTTGAGCTTGGCCCGGCTTTGAGTGGACCAGGGGTCCACTCTGGTTGGACCAGAGAACTCCAGAGTTTGCCTCCAAATGAGATTATGCTGTTATTCTCTGACAGTGCCATGTTCATATTTGTTTTGGGCAGAAGGATCTCACTTTTAGGAAATGCACTACTGTTGCTTGAATGAATGTGTTTTGTTCTGGGTATTTTTACCTCTCTTTGAAATGACTTGTCTTTGTTCTGGAAGAAAAGCATTTTATAGCTTTTAGGGACTCTGGATTCACTGCAGGCAATTCCATGCAAGCATTGCATTTTAGAAAATGTATCACTGACACAAGATTCACAATGTATTTGCCAAAGATCAGATGAACTGTGTATCTGAAAACAGCAGAGCTTTTCTGAGTTTTCAGTTATTAGTAGACATAACTTGTTTATAGATACTGTCTTCTAGGAAATGTACAACAACAAACAGCCCCCACCTCCCCCCTGCCCTTGTCCTCAGATGCCTTAGGTCGTATTACAAATATTTCCTTTTCCCTGAAGCACATACGTTTTTCATCCACCATTACAGTCAATGAAGGAATTTCCCACTCCCACTCTCAGAGTGATTTTGAGTATTTGCGTATGACAGTTATAAAATATTTTGGATAAAAGCAAAAATCCCTGCTATTCTTTAGATGCTTCAAATGTTTCTGTAGAAATTGTATACTTATCTGCATGTAGAGAAAGGCCATGTAGTAGTAGGCCAAATGTAGTTTTTGTCTTGGAATTAGGGATGTGTGCATATGTATTTAATGATCTACTGTGATAGAGGCACCCAACTTTAAAGTTGATGTAGGAAACCTGTAAAAATTAAGGAAATAAATTATGTATCCTTCATATTCTTCTGTTGAGCCATTTCATTGCCAAAATTATTCCCAAATTTATTTTATGTAGTTAAAATGGAAATACTCTACAATAATTTAATAATTTAATTTCTTCATTTAACATAGTACTTAAAAATAGACAGTCAGAATCATTATTAATGGCCTTTAAATATAAACATGGTTATATTGTTTAAATATGCAAACAGGCATTTTCTAGCTATTTTCAGTGACATTTGCTGGTTAAGTGGTTAGACATTGTTTTAAGGGGCTAAGAATAAAATAATTCTGTTAATATTTTAGGCACCTAGCTTGTAAAACTCAAATGGCATTAAGAATATGGCACTATAATTTGGTTATATTACTGTCTCTGAGGCAAGAAAAGTTGCCATGAAAAATGCTTTGGCCACAGTATTAGTGGGATAAAACATTACAAGTATAGAATAAAAAAAATAAGGAATTTTTCAGAAAGTATTGCTGTTTTTCCCTATATTTTTTCTTATGAGATCTATTTAGTATTCTGAATTGAACTGAATTGAATTGGGTGAAATGAACTGAGCGGGTGAAAATGTCACCACGTGACAAAGATGTGTTATCACAAAACTTACTTTCATCTTCTAAACAGTAAGTTAAAATAGCTTGTGAACAGAGTGCATTCTTTATTGTACAACAGTGAGGAAACTCCCGTCTTCTTGGTTGTGGTCTTTAGCTCGCCATTTGCACAGTTCTTTGGAGCGTGACTTCCCAGCCTGCAGAGGGAAGACCGCCTGTTCCTGGCGCACTGTTCTCTGAAGCCCTTCTGCTCCTCAGAAGCGTG